TTTTTTTTTATGTATTGTTAAAACTAATGATAACAATGTTGACCACTTCACACGTGAACCAAATTGTCAACACAACTGTACAGGTAGTAAAACTGTTTTGAAAAAAGTACGAGGGCAGTAAATAAATAAAATATATTGTTGTGAGGCCATTTACAGGCAAACATATGATAAATTACACACATACCAAAATTGCTCGTGTATGACCAAGTGGACCAGTAATAATTTGTTCTTTTAAAAGTTTTATTGCGGGCACACCTGGTATAACTGCAGCCAATTTGCAAACTACATATATACCATACACCAGCACCACCCTTAGATCAAATCATTATAGTCACACAGCAAATGGAACCGCCAAATGCAAGCACTTCTCATTGTGCGGTGGAGATAGCCACCATGGAGACGGAGGTGCTAAGGGTGGCGCCACCACCTCGCCGGAGCACCCTTCATAAAATCAAGACAAGATTCAAAGAAACCTTGTTTCCCGACGACCCTCTCCGGCAATTTAAAGGACAGTCATCCAAAACAAAATTTATACTTGGAGCTCAGTATATTTTCCCTATACTACAGTGGGGTCCTAAATATAATCTCAAATTACTCAAATCTGATATTGTTTCTGGCCTCACTATTGCCAGTCTAGCCATTCCTCAGGCATGTCATCGAAAACTCCATTTTCTTGCTTTTTCAATTAATTCGTCACTATATTTTTTTTTCTGTTTTCTAATAACTTTTTTATTTTTGAGTTTCATTTTTTCAGGGTATTAGTTATGCAAAGCTAGCTAATTTGCCTCCAATTGTTGGTCTTTGTAAGAAATTCTTCTGTTAAAATTTTATCTAGTGCATGGCTGTATTTCGACCATATCCGTAAAAAGGAGAGCCTTTGACATCCAGGGGTCACGAAACCGACCATGGAACCCTGTATCTAAATTTTGATTTTTCTTTTTCAGATTCAAGTTTTGTGCCACCCCTTGTATATGCTGTTCTTGGAAGCTCAAGGGATCTTGCAGTCGGTCCAGTTTCCATTGCTTCTTTGATTATGGGATCAATGCTAAGACAAGAAGTTTCACCAGGGAAAGACCCTATCTTGTTTCTTCAACTGGCATTTTCTTCAACATTTTTTGCTGGTCTTTTTCAAGCTTCTCTGGGATTTTTAAGGTTGTTTATTAGTTAAAGATCATTAATGGCATCGATTCCTACTTGTCTTAACAACTGGGGAAGGAAAAAAGCTTATCTACAATTTTTTTTTAGGCTTGGATTTATTATTGATTTCCTTTCAAAAGCTACACTCGTTGGATTCATGGCTGGCGCTGCTATTATTGTTTCTCTTCAGCAACTTAAGAGTCTTCTTGGCATAAAAAATTTCACCAAACAAATGGGTTTGGTTCCTGTTCTCAGTTCAGTTTTCCATCGTACAAATGAGGTTAGTTTATCGATCAATAAATTTGAGGTCGACTACATAAATTCATATGCTAGCATGCTATATATGAATAGATTTTGCAAATTACTTTTCTAATATAGAGCCTGTTTGGTAGGAATTCTCATTTTCTACAGTAAATCAATTCTTATTTTCAACCACACATTCTTCAATAAAATAATATTTTCCATCACATCAATAATTTTTTCTTCTTTTTCAACCACACATTTCCCATCATATCACTATTCAAAATCAATTCTTCCATCAAANNAATCAATTCTTCCTCTAAAAAATCCCTACCAAACATGCTGATAGAAAAATACTTTTTACTGTATAAATACATAACGAATAAATTATTATCCACTTTTTTAAGGTGATTATTATCCACTTTTAATTAACTTTACTAGGTTAATTTGATCCACTTTACGGCCAAAAAATATCGATTATTTTATATGAGTTATTTGTAGACAATTTGTGAACATATTCTATCATGTCTATTATTGTAAAATTACACTTGTTGCCTTTCCCCACAAAACAAAAAGGGAGTAGATAAAGACAATTATCCACGTGCTAACACATAATTATTAATTTTAATATATTCCTTTCATATTTCATCTCAATTTTATAAGGATAGGAAATCAATAATTCAGAATTTTTTTTATGTGATTTTTGTGCAGTGGTCATGGCAAACTATACTAATGGGGTTTTGCTTCCTCATGTTCCTTCTTTCGACCAGACACATCGTACGTATTTCTCGTTTATTTATTTTTTGTATTGCAAATTCTAATTTCGATCTTAAATTTATTGAATTTGATATTTTATAGCAAATCCTAGCACATCAAGTCGTGTGAGCTTACTAACTTCTTTCAATGTGTATAATCGTGGTTAAAAGCAACTTTTCATACAACTTTCAAATATACCATAATTTTAAATGTGAAATTTCGTAATTTTAAATTGTCACAATAACTTTTCTGGATAGTGAAGAATTAAGAACATTTGCTTAAATTTTTTGAGGTTTTTCAAAAATAAAATTTTCTGCCTCTAGATTGGCATCTATATTTGCATGTGAACCGGTTGATTGGACCATCTCTTTCTTGTCCGCTATAAAGTCTAGTTTTGTGTATTTAGTTGTCCCATACTCTTAAACAAATGCTCTCTCTGAACTTGAAATATTGGTTGTATATAGGTTGATTTTTTTCTGTAATTTAATTGTTTTTAGAGTAAAAAATAGCAAAAAAATAAACGTTGTTTAACGCCGTTTGACGGGACTTTTGCTTTTGTTTTTGCTTTTACTTCTTGCAAAAGAGTGTATTCAGAAAGCTAACTTTTTATAAAAGTTCTTCTAACTAGAGAAAGCACTTCCAAAAATTATCTATACATATTCAAAAGCAACTTTTAAATCTCAAAAATAGCTTTTAATTTTTCAAAAGTCATGACAAAAGGACCGTAGCTTAAGAGTTGTTTTTACAAAGCTCAATCAAAATCAACTTCAATCTGATCAAGACCGACTTGAATATTGTCTCTAGTATAAATTCCACTTAGAAATTAGTATACACATACCATTTAATGTCAAAATAAACCTTGAGAATTCTTATGGCTGTGTATTGTAATGTGACAGAGCATCAAAAAGCCAAAGCTGTTTTGGGTGTCAGCAGGAGCCCCTCTACTTTCAGTCGTTCTCTCCACTCTTCTAGTTTTTGCATTCAAAGCTCAGAATCATGGCATCAGTGTAGTAAGTTTCTCAGTTCCACTTCATTCACTTTTAAGGTCAATCGAGAGAGACTTTTGTTAAAAATCGAAATTTCTTGTAGTGTGTTTGTATTCAATATTGCCCTTCAGTTATTCTCTTATTAAATCAGATTGGAAAACTACAAGAAGGATTAAATCCTCCTTCATGGAACATGTTACATTTTCATGGAAGCCACTTGGGACTAGTAATGAAAACTGGCCTTATCACTGGCATTATTTCACTCACTGTAAGTATTTTTTGTTAAAGATATTCACTGGCCGAAATCATTAGGCATCGACTGGATGTATGCCGATAAATTTTGTTGAAACAGGAAGGAATTGCGGTGGGGAGGACTTTTGCTGCTCTGAAAAACTACCAAGTAGATGGAAACAAGGAAATGATTGCAATTGGACTCATGAATATAGTCGGCTCATCCACTTCTTGCTATGTTACAACTGGTATATCCATCTTGTCTTCATTTTTGTTCCACACATCGAAATTATGAGCGACTTGGAGCTTATTAGATTTTTGAACAATTGCAGGTGCTTTCTCAAGATCAGCTGTGAACCACAATGCAGGGTGCAAAACTGCAGTCTCTAACATAATAATGTCAGTAACAGTAATGGTGACACTCCTCTTCCTCATGCCACTCTTCCAGTACACCCCAAATGTGGTGTTAGGAGCCATCATTATCACTGCTGTTATTGGCCTAATTGATATTCCAGCAGCCTATCAGATTTGGAAAATCGACAAATTTGACTTCTTAGTGTTGCTAAGTGCATTCTTGGGGGTCATTTTAATCTCCGTCCAAGAAGGCCTTGCGATCGCTGTAAGATTCAATTCTCCCTTCCCCCCTACACCCCAGGAAAATAACATTTACCTCCATATTCCACTTTGAAAACATGGAAGCTGACATCTGATGGTCAAACATAATTATCAGGTAGGTATATCCATTTTTAAGGTGCTCCTACAAATAACAAGGCCGAAAGCTGTAATGTTGGGAAATATACCAGGAACGAATATTTTTCGGGATCTTGACCATTACCAAGAAGCTCTTAGAGTTCCGGGCTTCCTCATTTTAAGCATTGAAGCTCCAATTAACTTCGCTAATACAACTTATCTCAAGGAAAGGTATTTGGTTTCTGATTATATTAACAATATTCTGCCAATTTTCCTTTATGGGTGTTTGCTTCCCAATTTTCCTGTAAATATGACCTCAATGCTGAATGTTTCTCAGGATTTCAAGATGGATAGAAGAGAATGAAGTAGAGGATGAAAATGGCAAAAAACAGTCCATGATCAAGTTCGTCATACTCGATTTGTCAGGTAGGTTTATTGAATATCTAATGCATGGTTTTGAACGAGAGAAAGAAGTCAAGAATCCTCTTTTCAAGTTTGACTCTCACTCGTGTCGTTGATTTCCTTCTCCAATAGTTCTTTTTCTTTAAGTTACTTTAAGGTTCCAAAAACCAATCTTGATTTGTTACAAAGTGATCTAAATGATAGTTTTTTCATTTCATAGATAAAAATGCATAGTTCTAAAACTGAAACTGACATGAACATTAAACTTTTTTCAGCTGTGAGTGCAATTGATACAAATGGAGTCTCATTCTTCAAAGATTTGAGGATGGCACTGGAGAAGAAGGGTCTAGAGGCAAGTAGCAAAAATCTTCAAAATCTTTTAACAAACTTGTCATTGTTTTTGGCTTACCACATCCTAATGCTATTTATTCCAAGTCACAGCTTGTATTGGTGAATCCACTTAGTGAGGTGATTGAAAAGTTGCTAAGGGCAGATGACTTCAGAGAATTTGCAAAACCTGATTGTATGTTCTTGACAGTGGAAGAAGCTGTAGCTGCTCACTATTCAACAATCAAGAACCAACCATCCAACCATGTATAAGCATAATAAAAGGGCTAAACTGAAACGAAACGTCGTCCTGAATTATCCAACTGCACTCAAAATACCACGTGTGCAATCTCAAACACCAATAATAATAGAAGGCCCTGAAATTGTTGAGAGTTGGCGAGAAAAATAAGTGGACTTGAAGAATTTTCCCACAAAAAATGAAAAATCTATACTGCAATCTCTCAGTTGTTCTTCTTTTAGTTACTGAAGCTTTTGATAATTGCATTTTGATCCCAATGGTTCATACTTCATTGCAATTGTGTCCATCTACTTTCTTTTTAATACAATATACCCAGTCAACTTATTATTTTGGGCGTTAAGCATCAATTCTAATTATCTATTACTTATTTATTTGACCAACAATTAGATAATATAATGTGCACAACCAGGTTAGAAATTGGATTTGCAAAATTCTGTACCCATACTAAAGTGGTAGAACGTAATACTCACAATCAATGAAAAAAATGAAAAATTGTCCTAAAGCATATTCTTATAATTATTGTGTTAACAATTATGTAATGAAGAAATTTATTATGAATTTGTGTGCGAAATGCAATGGAAGTGAACTCATTTGTAATGTTACATAAAACTATAATAAATAGAAAGAACAACAATTTTTCATAATTATCTAACTAT